TACTATAATCAACTTTATCACATTCATACAGCTCTCTACTATAATCAGAACTTTATCACATTCATGCACCATGCACCAGAGGAAAACATCAGAGGCAGTCAGGGGTTCAGTGTCTCGCCCAGGGACACTTCAGCATTTGACTGCTGGTGGAGTCAAACCCACAACTCTCCCATTGGAGTACGACTGCTCTAACCTCTCAGCCACAGCCGCCCCTTTTTAAAATATTTTTTTAATAAAAAAATATTGTTTTTCATTCAACCATTATATAATGATAATAATAATAATTTATTTAGTTTGTACTGCACTTTACATTTTTCTATCTCAAAGTGCTACAATATAAAACATCTAGAGAGAATAAAACATGGACTGAAAAAAACCCCTAAAACAGCAGTATTAAAAATAAATTTAAACACTAAAATATTTCAAATAGAAATGTCTTCAGTCCTTTCATAAAACTGTAGTCTGGGCTATCTTTAGATGGTTCCACAGACGAGGAGCAGCAGAGCAGAATTCAATTCAGTTTATTCATATAGCGCCAAATCACAACAAAGTTGTCTCAGGCACTTTACAGGAACATTCACATAAAAGCCAGTTAGTAAAGTTCTCTATCTAAGGAATCCAGCAGACAAGTTGAATCTTGGCTTCGTTGCAGTCTCCCATCCTGAGCAAGCACAGTGGAGACAGTGGAAAGAAAAACTCCCTTTAACAGGAAGAAACCTCCAGCAGAACCAGGATCAGGACAAGAGACCATCTGCTTTGACCGGCTGGTTGAGAGGACAGGAAGGAGAGACAGACGAACACAGAATGGTAGGTCCAGGTATAGGTCCAGTTCCAGGTATAGGTCCAAGTCCAGGTATAGGTCCAGATATAGGTCCAGGTCCAGATATAGGTCCAGATATAGGTCCAGGTGTATCTGAAAGACAAAAAAAAAAAAAACGTTAAGAATCCAACATTTTTCAGTCAGGTCATCTGGACAATTTCTTTTTTTGTGCTGAAACTGTCCAGATGACCTGATTGAAAAATGTTGGATCATATAGGTGGATTATTGAGCATGGACTTTGGTGTCATGTTAAGGATAGAAAAAATAATTACAAATGTTGAGCAGAGTAAGTAAAGACAGTAGCAAAGTGAAAGACTGTGGTCAGTTTGCCCTCCAGCAGAAGGCCCTGTTGCCCACGGTGTCACCCACCATAGTGTCACCCACCATAGTGTCATCCACCATAGTGTCATCCACCATAGTGTCATCCACCATAGTGTCATCCACCATAGTGTCATCCACCATAGTGTCACCCATGGTACATAGTTTTGTCGGGGCAGGGCGGAGCTGGTAGGAATTTGTGGAGGAGGGATCGTGCTGATGTCTGAGCAGTTCTTTAAAGTATTATGGAGCACGGCCATGAATGGATTGGTGGGTGAGTCAGAAACCTTGCATTCAATGTGGAGTGAAATGGAAGTTAGAGGAGGGATTTAAGGATTGGGGGGCGATGTGGTCGTGTTTCCTTTGCTTCATCCGAATCCTGCCTGCATTGTTCTGTACGTACTGAAGTCATATTTATACGTCCGTATGCTCTTTGTGGACTTCACGTCTGTCTTCAACACCATGATCCCCCAAACCCTGATGGACAAACTACTCACACTAGGACTAAGCCCCTCCATTTGCAACTGGGTCCTGGACTTCTTGACGGATCCACAACTTCTCCTCCTCCACCATAACCCTCAGCACTGGCACTCCTCAGGGCTATGTGCTGAGCCCCCTCCTGTTTACTCTGCTCACGTATGATTGTGCAGCTACCCATCCAGGCTGTCACATTGTAAAGTTTGCAGATGATACAGCGGTGGTGGGATGCATCACAAACAATGATGAGTCCTGCTACAGGCAGGAGGTGGAACACCTGGAGAGTTGGTGCAAAGAGAATAACCTTCACATCAATGTGAAGAAGATGAAGGAGATGATCGTGGACTTAAGAAGGAACAAACACACCTAAACCCTTGAACATAGGAGGATCTGAGGTGGAAGTGGTCTCCAGCTACAAGTACTTGGGTGTGCACCTGAACAACAACCTCAGCTGGAGCAACAACACCACCAGCCTGATCAAGAAAGCTCATCAGAGACTCTACTTCCTCAGGCGGCTGAGGCGAGCTGGTCTGGAAGCTCAGTCCTCACCTCCTTCTACAGGTGTGCAGTGGAGAGCATCCTGTGCTCCAGCATCAACGTGTGGCATGGAGGCTGCACAGCTGCAGAAAGAAAAGCTTTGCAGAGAGTGGTGAAGGCTGCACAGAAGATGTTGGAGTCAGTCTCCCCACCATCACAGACATCTACACCTCCAGATGCAGGAAGAGGACCACCTGCATCATGAAGTACCTCACTCACCCAGCACACACACTTTTTGCCTCGCTCCCCTCAGGAAGGAGGTTGAGGAGCATTAAGTGTAGAACCACTAGACTGAGGAACAGCTTCTACCCTGAGGCTGTTAGACTCATGAATCTCTAACTAGAATAATCACTGTGATCCACTTTGATTGGTGAGATGTGACTTATCCATCCATCCATCCATCCATCCATTTTCTTTACCCGCTTATTCCATTTTTTGGGCCACGGGGGTCGCTGGTGTCCATGTCCAGCAATCACTGTGCGAGGGGCGGGGGACACCCTGGACAGGTCTCCAGTCCATCACAGGGACACATAGAGACAAACGAGACAAACAACCATTCACTCTCTCACTCACACCTAGGGACAATTTAGAGTTACCAATCAGCCTAACATGCATGTTTTTGGTCTGTGGGAGGAAACCGGAGTACCCGGAGAAAACCCACGCATGCACGGAGAGAACATGCAAACTCCACCCAGAAAGGCCCCTGGACCGGGGTTTGAACCAGGGACCTGCTCGCTGAGAGGCAGCAGCTCTACCAGTTGCACCACCGTGCTGCCCTGTGACTTATCCATGCTGCTCATTTCTGCTTGACCTTGACCTCTCTAAGGGATTTTAAACATCTGCTAAGTTCATGGCAAAAACCAACGCAGACATGTTCCTGTTTTTAATATTTTACATGACTTCATAATGTAGCTTTTTTTTTTTTTTTCCTTTCTTTCTTTTTTGGTATAATTTCTTCCATTTCCTTTTCAGTTTGAATGTATGAGATATGATTGTCTATTGTCTGTACCTCATCTGTGCTCTTTGTTGAAATCAGGTCTGTCTTGTAAACGAGTCCTTGAGGCTCATTGAGACTAACCTGTAGAAATAAAGGTTGAATAAAAAAAATCTTACCCATAAGCTGCTGTATTCAAAACCATCTTCTCACAACAGACTCATGTTCAGGCTGCTGTTTAATACACCATATTATATTGCGTTATTATTGTTTAGCATACATCTTAGAATTCTTGTATACTGTTTGTTTTTTATACAAATTTTTGCTATGTTGGGGGGTAACTAGGACCTTGAGTACACAGTTTCGTTCCGCCTCATGTACCACATGTGATGAGAAAGACAGTAAAGGACCTTGACCAGGTTAGTGTCATTGAGCCTCGAGGACTCATTTTCAAGAGAGGCCTGTTTTAAAGAACACAGATGTGCACACATTGCATTACATTGTAATTTAACAGTAAAAAAATTGTGTTTTCTACCAATCACATTTAAATACGTTCATTTTTGACAGTATAATTTGTACACGTATTATTAGGCCTGTGTAAAATATTAAAACTAGTTATGAGGCTTGTTGACTGAGAGAGGTGGGGAGGGTTTTAACTCCCCAGGCTGGCTAGGAGTCTCTGTGGAGTGTTTCTGAGATACAGAAGAAGTCGGAGTGTCTGATTTTTGTCACTGTGGATCACAGCATCTTGTGTCATAAGCTCTCAGAAATTGGTTTCTCAGATCATACCATTAGTTGGTTCTCCAACTATCTTTCAGATCGGAGGCAATGTGTTCAACATAATGCTACTTCCTCCAGTTATTTAACAGTCAACGATGATGTACCACAAGGCTCAGTCTTAGGACCCACCCTCTTGGACAGTTTTTGTCCTGTTGAGCTCTGAATTGTCAAAAATAATAACCTCA